ATCCACCACAGCTTCATGGATCCGGGAGAAACCGTAACAGCCGAAAAGTACTGCCAGGAAATTGACGAAATGCATCGAAAACTCCAGCTCATGAGCTCGGCACTGTTGAATAGGAGAGGGCCAATTCTACTCCACGACAACGCTCGGCCTCACGTCGCACAACTTACCCTGAGAAAATTGATGGAGCTAGGCTATGAAGCTCTCCCGCATCCACCATATTCCCCAGACCTTGCTCCCATAGACTACCATTTCTTTAAACATCTCGACGCTTTCTCAAGGAGAAATGCTTCAAAACCCAACATTATGCTGCCGCGGCATTCGACGACTTCATCGCCTCTAGATTTCCGGACTTCTATGCGAATGGGATACTCGAACTTGTTTTTCGTTAACAAAAGTGTGTCAATAGTGATGGTTGTTATTTCGATTGATGAAGTTTCGTTCAAGCCGAGATATATGCATTTGAAGTTTGAGGCGCAAAACCGCAAGAACTTTCTTCACGACCTAATAGAAAGTGTTCTATTGCAGTACACGTTTTCAAAACTGTGGGGATTTCCACTGGTCTGACTGTTGCGTTCAGCTTTCATACAACAAAATGTCCCCAGCCTCTGAACCATGGAAAGAATCGGGACTGATGAAAATGGGTCACTCACTGTTTTCAGTAAACAATGAAATACCAACACCTTGAGAAGAGCTCTACCCAAGTATTTCATTGTTTTTGAAATTTTCCTTTCCCGAGAATCAGTTGACTCACTGGCTCGAGTGGGACGAGGTACCCCACCAATGAAGACGGTTCTGCGAGGGTCCATGATAGTACGTGGGTTTGAGATGAAGTCCATATCTGCCAATCTCCATGGTCTGACTTGCACAGGTTTATCTCGCATTGTCGGTGACGAAACGAAAAGGTAGTATCTGCAAGTTGAAATCTCAGGGGGCTTGCTTGAACCTTCTCCGTTAAACATTCTTACCTGTCATCCTCTTTGTGACACTCACTTACAAGGTACTGTACGGAGCTTTCTTCTTCAAACACAAGAAATACATAGCCGGTCATGGAACGAGCTGAAACTCAACGATTTAGAGTGGCTAGTAGCATAATTATCATCAGAGAAGGTGTTCGATCAAGAAACTCGTCTCACATCCTCTGCCAGATTCTTCATCACGAGCGCTGGTGCCATCAGGACGACGCGGCCAATCCACGAGCACGTTTCCAAAGACAGAGAAAGTCTGCCAGATTTCTTCTTAAAGTGAAAGAACAAAGATGGAGCTGGTCATTTCCTTAGAAGCAGTATTGATTACCTTCAGTAACGTCGATTGGCAAACCGCCAACAAAAACTTTCCTTGCAAAAACTTCTACATCGTTACTGAATTGCGAAGGTGTTCTCGATGGTGTGCCTAGCATCTTACGAACAGGAATAGTAGGTTTTGTCTCGACAAGGGCTCCATGCTGTGCTGAAATTAATAAGTACTGAAACTTTAATTAGGGAGGAAGAAATTGGACTTGAGCAGCATCCACCATGTTTCGATTTTATCGAAATCCTATCAATAGATCAAAGTAAACTTTACAGTAGGTTGATGTTAGGTTTACATTGCAGAGGCACTAGGGGGTTTAGCTCTTGGCTACTACGATGTTCTCATCAGTGTTACATAGAACTCGATCCGGGTTAGCAGTTTTCGCTAATTACGGGAGCATGTATGGTGGTAACGCTTCCACTGCTCCTGCAGAATTGAAGGTTTGGTCACCGGTCGTGTGTTCGATTGGAATTGTCACGGTAAAACTTCCATGAAGAAGCAGAGGCGTGTGAATTTCTGCCCGATCGGCTTGCTGCACTCGCTCCACCAGCTCCGTGTCGCAGAAATGCGAAAATGAAATAAAGTGGATGATTAGAGCGTAAAATATATGGCCGTGAGTGAATTGGTTTTAAGAGGTAACTACTACTCAAAGATTTGCTGCGTTGGAATGCGCAGAAGTCGAAATTCGTGAGAATTCGGACACAAATTGAGCAACCCAAAGAAGCATTATTCTCCACTATCATCGCAAGAAATGCGCCTCATCCTTTCCCCAACACCATCGCCTCTTCGTCACTCCTTTGAAACTTCCTTCAGATGATTTCAACAAGTATTTGCAACTTACAGCATGCATTAGGAGCCGATCCGGCACTAGATACACTTTCATTGGAGCACAAGCTGGCGTTGGTGGAAAGACAAGGCTGCGGAGCTAAATGTTCGTTGATCAGGGAATTTTTTTAACATTTTATCAGTAAGTAATCCTTACGTTTGAGAAAGACATTGCCAGTCCCAGCCAGCAGCAGAGGCAAGGTGTCTTCGGCACGGTTGTATCGTGGTGGGATGATTCCTGACGAAGAGTGGCTGTTGCAGGAGTAGCTGAAGTTATTCTGCTGAGTGATCGTTTGTGGACGTGGCAAGCCGGCAAACAGCTTTTCCGCTCCGAACATCGGATTGTAGGCCTGAAATTCTCCCACATCTCATGCAGTTGTAGAAACATTCGAACAGATTTCTTCGCACCTGTGCTGGCAGGGTGTCGTCGAGAATGCTGGTGCGACTCAGGGCTCTGTCTGGACGTGGAGATGAATCTGTTGAATACGGTGGCATTTGCAGGGTGAGGGCGGCCAACTTAAACACCTCAATTTGTGACTGATTCACAAAGCTTTCATTGCCTGTCTCTCAGTTTCGAGAATCCCCTATCCTATAGCAGTTGGAAGGAGGAATACTTCAAAGTTGTTACTTCTTTTTTAGTCGGTTTACTCTTCCTACTTATCTCACAACCCACTTCGTCTGAGGCCCTTGTCCTAATAGTTACATCCCATTCCTGGCCATTCATCCGAGTAGTACAAATAGGATGGGATGGCTATCGATAAAATACGCTTATAGCTTTAAACACAACAGTTTGCAACGAACAACAAATGTGGGTGTGTTTGTGCGGATGTGCGTGTATGCATGCGTGTCGGTGTGTTTGACCGAAAAGCCATGACTTATATTCTTTCCACCTAGAGCGTTAAAGTTTGATTGTATTACGGGTGGGCTGGACTCCGCCAACAGTGGGCGGGGCGTACGCGAATATGGTCGCCCGATCAGACACTCGGAGGTCAAATTTGGAATGGGTACGGGCGTCAGGATAAAAATGCTAAGGGAAGTACTACGACTCCTAAACAACATGAACTGAGCGCGAATCCGATCATGCTGGGCTGGGCGCTTACAAAGTGTGCTGGGGTGTGTGTGTTTAGCCGAAAGTTCTTCCGTTGCAGGGCATTCAAGTTCGGAAGCGATGCGGCTGCAGGGCAAGTCTAACATGAAAATGAGGAGAGCCTGACGTGAGTGGTGCGATCTGGCTGGTATCAAAATATACAAAAAATCAGCATTGGCTAACAAGGAAAATCTGGTAGCTTTCGTTGAGGTTTTTTCCCCCCGTCGTGTATCATCTTGATCGATTGATAAGCACCAGAAAAAATAATCGATTAACTAACCTGAGAATGCAAATCGCTCAAAGGAAGACCCATGCTAGCGGTGGCCATGTGCATTTCTGGATGATTGCCAGAGGCCTGAATCGGATACATACTGAGCATTTCAAGCGAAATGATATGGTACGAGTACGGCTAGAGGTGGCTTCAATCACAGTATAAACGGAGTATAGACGAAAGCGATCCACTCCACTTGTGTAGTTATCTCTTCTGCAAGTTCTTAACCAGCACTAGAAGCAATGGTAAAACCCTAGGCTTGGACAAGAGACTGACCCTTTCACCCATGAGACCATCTCGGTTCATGAACGTCTCACTTAAGAAGAAATAACTTGAAATCGACCAGTGAGTTTGAGGAGTAGATAAGGTTAATGTGTTCGTAATGTGTATGAAATCAACGCAATGAAGAAGTAGTTTCGAGAAGAAAATTTGTGAACAACCGATTTACAAATGAAGACGGATATCCTGTAGCAAGTTGATCGATGAAATGAGCAGAGAAACCAACTTTTATCGCCTTTTTATTTGTAGTACAAACGCGGCTAGACGTGAAGATGCCACGTCTTTGTTCAGATTTGTTTTATCTGTATGAAACAGAACAAGATGTAGGGATACCTGCAACGTAGAGGAGATGTTCAGAATGACCACTGGATGGAAGCAAAATCCTCAGAATTTCACTGGAATCTGCTCTTAACATTCTGGGATTTGCTTGAGCTCAGCTCACTTTTGATATGGAATTTCTAAAATTACTTTCGATTGCTCGAGTTGAAGAATAAAAAGGCTACCGGCGTTGGTCAATTCAGCTTGTGGGATAAGCCACCGCATTCAAATTCGAATAAGAATTGTGATCGCCTCGATTCGAATGCGTATGTGTTCTATCCAGTTAATTGGGGAAGCTAACCAACGTCTGGGAGGATAAGAGTCAGTGATTTTATCATCCCCAACAAGCCTGATGCCAATTACCTACCCTCGGATGGGCAAAGGCTTGGTTGGTTTGGAGGAGTACTCAGCCAACATTCGATCTCCGAACCACGTGTGTGTTAAACAGTGTCGGTACGAACCCTGAACTTTGAAAGCATTCCGGGCTATCGTGATAATGAACTCTTCCCCGATTAGGAATTAGTCTGATAGATAAGTAAGTTTGGTTGAAATCGTTGTTTCAGTATGCTCGTAACTTGTCATGGATTTCTCTATACAAACATCACCTTAGTTAGGCTTTAGGGTGAAACTATGTAAGCCCAAAACTGCTGGTGAACCTCCAGAGGACGTCTTTTTTCATGATTCAGTCTGCCCTGGCACGAGGCAGAACGGTGAAATGATTTGCTGGAGGTGAGGAGCACAACACCATGTTGATGTTTATACTTCGGCTGATTCCTTCTTGCGATCACAAAAAACCGTTCGCTTTCACTTCATTATTGAAGAGTCTTGGCTGGTGGCTGGTCTCAGTTGCCTATCTCATCGACTGCTAACCTTTAACAAAAAGGCGGTCGTTCCTATTAGGGAGTTATTTCCATATTACCTGAACTCGTCAGCTCGACCCAATGACATTTTTGTCGCAATAACGACACTTAACTCTCCTATATCCCGAATCTTTCCTCGACATGTTGTTGTTAAAACGATACCAGGCAAAGGACGTATTTGAGTTGACTTGTTTATTTATTCATTAACGAACCTGACCACATAAACAATAAACTCAATAAAAGCACGGGCTGCATTTTTGTCTGAATAATCTTGCTTTTATTTATCTATTTTTTCTCGAGTAATTCTTGGAACTATGAAACTCTTTCAACATACTATTTTATTGAAATATTATTTTTCTCAAAAACGGCACTACTTAAATCACCAATTCATTCATGGATTGAATAAGGGACCTCTTCTTTTTCGCCATATCAGCAATTGTGTTGAGATAATGTTCGACATGAGAACTCGGACATAAACTCCATCTATTAGTTATCGCAACAGGTGGAGAGAATCGTTGTGTGCGACAATTCAAGTCTAGAAACAATTTCAATGTTGTTCCCTTTATAGACGTTACCCTTACTTCATCTCATCTGCAAACTCATCCTTACCACTTATATTTGGCTCAGTCGCATGTCTCCATAGCCGCATCGACGTACCTCTATACAAGCTCAAACTTTTTGAACGGCCATCTAGCCCTTCGGGTCTTCCCACAACCACTTGGGTGCGATTTTAGCCGCTCTACCAATCACCTTCTCTGCTGTGAAGAAGTTTTTGGTTATGCACATTGCCTTATATAACAATCTGAATTACCACAGTTAAAGCCTGACTAAGTTCTGCGTCAAAGCTTACGAATCCCAATGTTTGTAAACGCACCAAATTTCATAGCAACTGGAATATTTTCGCTTTTGATTTTTGGTTCTTTTTGTTTTTTTTTCACGTGTCTTACAGCAGGTTCCCTTGAGAAATTTGAGATCTCTTTAGGTTACTCACTCAACTCTCGATTTCTGTATTATGGAGCTCAATGGTAAATCCTTTTGCCGTTCTTCCCTTTCGCGCTGAGGATTTCTCGTTTTCAAATTGGATCACTCTTTATACACGAGAACAATTACGTGATCGCACAAAAGGCTCCTTCTAAAAGCTCTGCTTCAGATCACTCGCTACCGCATAGGAATATGTATAAGTCCACTGGTCACAGCTCAGAACGGCTGATTGAAGAGGAACGAGCTGATAATGTGATATGCAACAGACGGCTTATCAGTGGGCACCATATGACCAGCACCCTAAACATAGTATTGTAATTATACCTCGATGAATAGCTTCCATCGACGAAAGAACTGATATCACCCACCCTAACGGTAACAAAGTCAAGACCATCGTAACGCGTGTGGAAACCACCAATCTGTCCATCAACAATGAAGTGTTTCTTGGCGGCGATCTCCTGAAGTTTTTGAAGTTCTGCACTATTCTGTTTTGCAGGAGGAATAAGGAATTATTCCTTTCAGTCAACAGGTTGTCGCTCGATGGACCATGAAACCGCCTATTTGAGCATTACACGGTACGGTCAGAAGGTCAAATTGATAGCCCGAAGCTGAGGGAATCTGGCATCGACTCCATGACAGCTGGCACGCACAGTGGCACCTTACCACTTTGAGCTCTTTTTTGGTGAAAGTGACAGGGTAGAAACGTCAGCTCAATCAAGCTCACTAGCTTTGTTAAGGTTTTTTTTCAAATGAATCTATGGGTGGAAATGTGGTGAGGTTTACCCAACTAGGTGCTCCTTCCCTTTTAAGACTCAGGTAACAAAGTTATTTTTTCTCGGCCCAGAACGTTCTCAAGCACAATGGGACCGCGAGGCCGGCTTCACTCCATTTCGACCTCTAGCACGCGATTTGTAAAAAAGCGGTGCCTTTCCCCTCTGGTAGTGGACATCCAAAATGGGTGTGTGTGCATGACGAAGCAAATGTTTTTTACCCTTTATTACTTGGGCGAAGGCTCTCTGGATACTGTAGCATAGAGCCATATTGTGCGATTTTTAGTAAGACGTGAATTTCATGCTAATGGTTCCTTAAAGGAACGGTTCGCGATAATTCAATGGGCGGGTATGTCAATGACGTGTCCGCCTCTNAGAGGCGGACACGTCATTGACATACCCGCCCATTGAATTATCGCGAACCGTGCCTTTAAGTATGAGGTAGTAGCGAAGTGGTCCCAAGTACTCACCTTCAACCCAAGCTTGCGTGAAAATCTTTGTCCCATCAAGAAATTGCATGCCATATCGACATCACCGCTGTAGAGCATTCCTGAATGGAATATAGAAAAAACAGAATTTTTGTTTTCACTCTTGGAACAGATCGATTACATTACTTTAACCAACCTTTGAGTCCTTGCCCTAGTGCATTCATAACTCGTGTGTCCATCTCACCATACTGTTTTCTGTAGGTGTTGCTGATCTCGTCACTGCAAGATTTTTTTTCGAGAAGACAAAGTGGGAAGACTTATCTTCGTTACCTGCAAATGGACCATGGCCCAACGGTAGTGGGAACCCCTATCGCTTTTCGAACGTCTGGACGATTCAAATATACAGTCACAGCAGTCTCATTCATGCATGGAACGGAAGACAACTAAAATTATCCCGTGTAGAAGTGTTCGGGAACATGAGATTCCCTACAACGAGTACCTGTGAGACATCAAGGTCTTTTCCTGTACGCTGTTTATAGTCCAACCGGAATCGTTTGGACACTTCGATACCAGGAACATTGATACAGCTGTCATACATATTGTATGGATTTATTCCACCTTCCCTGTAGATAGTACTGCTCAGTTATTGTGGTTATCAAGATAGTAACGGCCGGCTCACCATGCTGCCATTGTTGTGAGCTGTACGAATAATGAACACGAGTCTAATCCATTGAAGGAGTGGAACGGACAGCTGTCGGTATCGTTGTTGCAACACTGTGATTTGATTCTTTGCCATTTGCTGAAAAAGATAACTGAAGGTTCACAAAAGTATCGAGGCTGTTCTTTAGCTATTTTGGTCTTACAGTCGATCATTCAGACGAGTCAGTATTACGAACATATGGTCGTATAAAAACGTAAAAATGACTTGATCAGTAAGCCACTTCTGTCGGAATGAAAAACGAAGGAAGTTTCTCCTTAGCCCAACTCTTGGGTACCTAATTTACCAGTTTTCTGAGGTGGTTAGTGGTAGGTTTTCACTAGGAGATTACCGCATTTTCCTTTGTGCACACCTATGTATACATTATTTGTGAATATTCCTTCGAAGGTTCGTTTCAAAAAAGAAGCAGCTTCGTCTTGAGCAAAACTGGAATCGTTTTGACCCTTTTTGGATAGGTTTTCGTTGTGAAAACGCTAAAATCGTTCTTTGTAAGATCCTAAATTCCATCACAAACTGTCTTCATGAAGGAACCCTTGTTGGTCTTCAAATTAATGCTATTCGCGACATCTCTGATTCACAGTGTACCCACTTGTCATCAATCATTCCGTGAGCGTATTCGAAGTTGATCAGTGCGTCGGTGCCGTCATTGTCGGACACACAACCGTTGCCAATCGCGAAGCCCTGAAACGATGGTCCGGCATAGAAAGAGTATATTTCGCTAGAAAGAAGAGCCCGAGTTAACCGCTTAATTCGCAGTTGTGTGAGGGAGTAAGTGTAATACATTTACAAAACAGTCGATTTTCGAGATTTTTTCGAGATTTCCAACTGGGATCAATCTGTGACTTCCAAAGATGGCACAAGGAACCTGTCGGGTCAAAAAACGGCTTAAATTGGGGTCGCAAAGCCGGCTTAGCCAACTTGCACACCTAAAGGCGGACGAGTCTCACGGCATTGTAGAGGCTGCAGAGATTGCACCATTTGCACTGGGACAGACAATTGCACGCAGGCAGCCTACTATAGCCAACTGTACGCAATGCCACACACATTTGAATGACTCGTCCAAATGTCCTCTCATACAACGTTTGTCGTCACACTCTCATCTGACCAATAATTTGCTTTTTCCAATTCTCCCACTTTTTCACATAGGCCAATGCTCGCGTTTTCTTCGGAACTTCTGCACTATTCTGGACTATCACTTCCATTGTTCGTCTAAAACTAGTTACCCTAAAGTTCTCATGGGCTGTGCCTTCAGGAACAACAGTTCTAGGAGGTAAACTGCAGGGTATTATCTTCTTCGGATACTGGAATTTTGGATACGAGAACTGGAAGGAAGTGAAGAGACATATAATAAAACTGGAAAGCATCGTTGCAATGTTGAACCTAGTTTTATGAATATGTCTCACTTTACACAATGTAAAACACCTACTCTACACATTTACACGTACTTCACAAGCGCTCTATGTCGCTAAACCAGACATCCAGTTAGTAAACATGCAGTCTTTCATAGTGAAGCACCAACAAGTGAGAGTATATGACACGTAAGTAAACTGTAGTGGAAAGAAGGCGCCACAACTTCCGAATCGACAGACTGGGATGCAAAACCGCTTTGCACGTGAAGTTATATGTACGTTCAATCACAGTTAAGGTTCCAGTGGTTCAAGAGTGTTCGTATATGAGAGGCCCGCTCCTCCTTTTAGTGGAATATCTACGCTAGAATCGTTAGAGCCCCATTTACAACACGGCAGCCATAATTGAACGCCGGATCCTCTCGAAGATCATTTGGGGCAGTCGAAAGAGTCTCGTTACTTGTGCTAAGAACACTTTGAATTTAACAAGCCAAGTGGACTAGTGGCTTCGGGTCAGATAGTTGAGGCTTCAAAGATTTCCGTCACCTATGTACTTGGACCAGTTTGTACTTTAAGTCAATAGATTTATGTGAACCATTTTGACGGCGAGTGGAGAATGAGGCGACTTACCTTGATGTTTATAGCGAACTGGGACTGTCTATCCAGAATCGTCTGTACCAGAGTGGGCACGTAGATACCTGTAATTGCTCGGGATTTCTCAAATGGTTGTTCTATAGGAAAATAGGAAATGTGTGTTAGATCCGCACGGTATCAATTACTTAGAGACTACAGTACCTCCATAAGATTCTCCGGTTACATAAAAGTCATTTTTCAGATACTGTGGGAATTCGCCAAAGAAAGCCTTCAAAGCTTCCCAATTCTCGCTGGCAGTCTGGAAAAATATAACGAATCTACGGAGGCAATGAAAGAACCACATACGTTCGAAAAACAACTCGAGAAGAATTCTCAAAAGGCACTTGTTCCTTCTGTACAAAACTTTACTAAGTTTTATTAGAACTACCTACGTAAGTCCATGGTAACCATAAGTAAAGCCCTCATGATCACACGCTGAAAAAAAAGAGATGATGGTCTCGGTGGAGTGAGAAACCCTTATGCCCTTATGCAAGAAGCGTGATACCATTTAGAGCAACTGTTGTGTTTTCATTTTATGAAAGGCTACTGAGGGAGTTTGTTCGATACACTTACGGTATGTAGGCAAATTACGGACGCTAGGGAGAAAAGGAAGAGTAAGCTAAAGTACCTGATCGTCATCAGTTTTGACGTTTCCGTCAGTGGCAAATGAATAACCAACACCAGCAGGAGCTTCCAAAGTAAGAATCGAGGCGTTCTTATTCCATGAGTATGGGTTCACAGACAGTGTCGCTCCATCAGGATTGGCCTTAATTAAGCGATACTTTAGTTTGCCCAATTCCATTTCCAGTAAATATCAGTTGAATAAGGGAAAATGGGAAATTTCCTGCGGTTCTATTTTTCGCACCATTCAGCTAGGCGTTGAACTTACCATGAACGGCCCCCATTCGGTCAGCAGAGCAGATAGGCCGGAACATCCAGGGCCACCAGTCAACCACACAAGAACTGGATCAGTGCTAGGGTTATTCTGAGACTCAACAAACCTAAAATATGTTCAGAAAGGTGATTGGGAAAAGCATTACCTAATTTGGGAAGAGAGAGGGGCTGTATACTTGGCACCTTCCTATTGAATATTTGAAAACTGATCAGGTAGGAACACCCGATTTGGCCATAGAGTGAGCGAGCCAAAGCCAATACTCGTTGCCGTGCTTTGAAAAAATTTAGGTCCTTTCTGAGCGGTTTTGATGAGGGGTTTTTAGGAGGCATCTAAGGGTTTGATAGCGTGGACTTCATGTACTCAGTAATCCCGTTATTTTTACTCTTCAGCTATGGGAAAAACAAAAACTTTGGGGAAAGAGTTTACCAGTAATGCAGCTGATGATTCTTTGTTGGTCCGACTGTATAGTATCCAGCGTACTGCTTGAAGTTAGCAGGTGGTTGGCCGGGCAGATTGGTTATCAGAGCAGCTGGTATGCTGGAAATAAACTGTATTTTTGAGTTTATTAAGGAACAAAGGGGAAGAGGTATACCCTTGGCTGATGAAGAGAAGCAGAAACACCCTGAGCACCATTCTGTGACCAAATGAGCCAAATTGTAGTGATAACAGAACCATGATAAGGCCAGAATAGGCGCTATGGCGCTATCGTCGTTTCACACTTTTCAAGTGAGTTCGTGCGTCAATAAGTCATTGAAACCGGATGTGCCAAGAGTTGCCTCTCGGAGTTGACAATACTTTTTCCTTTTACAAAATGAGTCATTCAACTCCTTCTGAAAACCATGTAGGTATCAAATACTCACGATACACTTAAGTGGCCCCTTTAGAATAGGTTGTAAAGTTTTGCCATTCTTCAGCCATGTTCTCATCTGGTGAGTTGAACGTGCCATCAAAAAACTGATCCAGGAAGCTTCTGTCAGTTTGGCTGACCTTGGCAGGGATCCAAACCTTAGAACCCCCTTCAGTCAAATCCATTTCTGAAAAAGAAGTCAAGAACGCCTGGTTTTGATCAGCACCTTTTCTGGATGCGCCCCGCATTAACTTCCATTCAAAATCCTAAAAAATAAAAGAAGAACACCCTTGACTGGTAGTGGCGTTTGGAATGCGTAGCTTCTACAACGGATTACGGTAGCCAGCCGATGTACAAGTCAGTGTTTTATCCTCCCAAAGAGTCTTGTACAATACCGATCCGGAGGGATGTAAGGCTCGGTAGCCCTGGCGAGTATCGGTCCACACTTGATCTTCGGACCATGCTTATGCCATAGTACCTAGCTTATCACAACACCACCTCTGTCCCTATTTTGAAAGAAAACCGGTCAAACACTAATTTTTCTTGAACTCGGGGGCGAACGAACTACAGAGTCACACTACCCACAACAATGTTGTTTTTCGGCTCACCTTTTCAGCAACCGTGAAATACTTTCGATGATAAATATAGGGAATGATTTTCAAAATGAAAATGACGTCACTCCTCTCTGATCGTCATTTGTTTTTATTGCCCCTCCGAAACCATGGCGATAAAGCAACTTTATCGACGGCCCAGTCTTTCGGGTGATCACCTTCTTTGGAGGCCTAGCATGGATAGAACTGTTGATAGGTACCAGTAACGATGTTTTCGCGGAAATTCGTTTTTGAAAGAATTTCTAAACTTCATCGCAGGGACCGTGGGAGCGATCGATCTCGTTGCTTTTTATTCGCCCATAAAATGCACCCACAAAGGTGTGTCGAAAATAAGGTGAAAAGCGCGATCGTCTTCGTGGCTAAGCTCAACCTCTCCATGTGCTGCTCTATAAAGATCTTGGAGTTATTAGTGAAATAACTTTATTAAAATAACTAAACACGAAGTCTTATTGGCTGACGTTTCGGCGAATCCACTCTCTTCGCTGTCCGGAAGCATCGAATCACCTTTTGAACCTACCGACTAAACATCTCAACATCCCACGAGACCATCCAAAGTAACTCAACCTTCACACATTCCTAGGCCAATAAAAATACCGTACGTCCCTGGACCTCAGAACTTGCCCATCTGAGCAGCGGTGGAGCCGACTATAAAAAGTTCAAAACTACGGTCAGAGGCCAACCTGATAGAGCTGAGTTTGCGGGTTATGGACTCGCACTGCCTCTTCTGATTCATTTTAGCATCCTTCCTTGGTTCGGATCCCAAATGCCTCGAGGAACTTCCTTGCGTCTTTTAGCGCTTCCTGACCCCGGACTCGTCTACACTATGAGATTGTTACGTATGGTAACCCAAGGAAATGACGACTGTTACCTAGTTTCCTCATCTAAATGTTCTTCAACCCGTTGTTAAGACACTGTAGCTCAGTTGCTCAGAAACCCATCTCCACAGTTTGGCAAATGATCCTGTAGTCCACACACACACACATACCACTGACAGTGCAATCTCTCTCTCTACTGGTAGGACAGACTACAGGTTGGATGTTGCACACGTGCGACGGGAGCAAGAGATACAGAGCGAACCGCTCTACAAGTTGTAGGAAGGGATTTCTGCCATACGAAGAGTATTCACCAGCCCTCTCCGCAGACACTTGGAAGGCTCACACCAACAGAGGCGAAGGGCACTACAAATGAGAATTTCAAGTTGAGGATTCTGCTGGCAAAATAATTTTAGAAATGTGTTGTATGTCCGATCTCTAGCCAGATAGAGGCGCTGAGTTAACATCAAAGAGAAGGAGGGGATCGACTATATGAGGTATTACTAAACTGGCTGTGGAAACCGAAGCAAAACAAAATCCGCCAATTTTTTCTTGTGTAGGGTAAAGGCCAGGCTGCCATTGTACCCAATTTTAAGCTTTTCCTTACACACTTCGACCTAACTACAGCTCCACAGCGCGAATCTCAGCAAAATAGCATTTCCTGCTCACCAATCCTATCAAGGGTCTTATTTTCATTTGCTGAACGCCTTTTATACTTTTACAACGTGCGTCATTCAAGCTACAAACTGTCTCTCGTACAAACTCACGCCTACTACTGTAACCGATGTCATTTCTACGTGATTACAGACTGGTACCTGTATTTGACGTTACTCAGCGTTTATGAGCTTTTGAAAAAAAGGTTTCACATCTGTGAACTTTCAATCATATACGCTACAATTTTGGTGGTGATTTCCTGAGAGCTTCACATATGAGGGGTTTGAAGGGCTCTCGAAAACATACCGCCCCGACATCTGTGTCGGACACCATTTGTTATTGGTAAGTCACTTTCTTTACTTTTGATTTGTTTTTCGCATTTACAGATCTGTTGGATAATGCTATTTGTTTATGAGTTGATAATCTAGAGCTTGAGCAATTACAGAAAATTTACTGCTCTCTCAATTTTTGAACAACTTTTCACCAAAACAGACTTCCGAATATTTTTGTACCCTTACGGTTTTTGCAAAGTAGATTAGTTGAAGTTGAATTTTCCATGATAAAGCCAACACACTGCCGAACAATCTATCTGTTGTTTTATTCTCCTATTCATTAAGAACTTTTCCAAGGTGTAGCTTTTGGTCCAATGCTGCCTGGAATTCATGATAATTTTTTTGGTAGGCCGTTCTTTGGTGAAATTCAACAAGTTTATGAAATTCAAGAGCTTTCATTCCGATTTCATCTTCATCAATCCTTCTTTCTTTATAAGAGTTAAGAGAGGAGGAAAACTTTGTAACTAACCGGTCAAATTGGCGAGATTTGGCGATAAGGCGATAAGATTTGTTAGACTTCATAATCTTAATATGCCAGATGAAGTTTTTGCACTTTTGCTCTCTGTAATGGTTGCAAAAGATATTTTTTCATCTATTTAGTTGCACACGCTCTTAGGCCCTTCGTTCCCTTTTTTTATTAAAAAAGTCTTACGATGAATAATTCAGTGATGGCGAGCGAGAACTCGGAACTATGGAACTATTCTGTTCTGGGTGTTCTAAGTGGTTCCATGGACGTTGTTTGAAGGATCTGAAAGATTTGTGAGTGTTTCTTGTCGATTATGTCTGATTAGATTTTTGAACTAGGTTGATATGTAAGGTCTGTTTCAGCTATGGATTGAGCTTCATGGTCTGCTACGTATTCCACTGTAAAGATTGCAGTCCTACCTCAGTGGAGACATGGGTAGCCAAACAAGCAAGTCAGTTCTTTTCACATTTCGTAGATTGTGAATAGGAGTGATTCTTTAGAAATGAGCTTAAAAATAGAGAGGTATATTATCATCCTCGTAATACAAAAATTTTAGTGAGTCGTGTCCACCACAGTTTTAAATTTATTTGTAATATTCCCTGAAACATCCAATATATTGTTACGTGGAGTGTGGTTAAAACCTTCTGTTTCAGATTTCAGTCACATGTGCGTAACAGTTCTTGCTAATTTGACGGCCGAAAAGTTAAAAAAGGATGGATTCCAGAAAACAGGAGAACATATCTATTTCAAGTGAGTAAGGCTTACGCTTTCCAGATATTTGTGGTTTTCGATCGTGGGGTCATCAATTCGCTCTTGAAAGTAATAAAAGGGTGTGTCAAGCTGTACATAAATGAAAGCGCATGGTAAAGTTTAGGGAAAGCGAGGACGAGCTCGTCTAATGTGAACATGATTAGTGAAACTCTCAAACTCGATTAAAATTGCGTCTAGTGCGTTCTTACGCATTCAGTTTCTGTTGAAAATCGTTGGGTACATTAGTGCTCATTTGGTTTTTGCGATAATCTGACGAAAATTCTACGCGGATGAGTCAGTTTTTATGCTCTCTAGCCGAATGTGGTACCGATTAACCGATTCCAGATAATTGGAGGCCTGACTGATTTGAATCAGTTTCTGATGTGGAATCATTCTCCTGCTCACAATTACACTAGCAACGCTACTTGTTCCTTCTCTGACGGAGAGGACCTGTTCAATACTATCCGCCTATTACCTCTGTATTACACTTTACTCAATTGCCAAAGCTGATGGTGTTGTCCGTATTATAGATTCTGGTAATGGTAATTTGGTTGCTTGACTACATAAGCAAGATCCTATACAGTTTCGTGCAATGTCGCTGGATTCTGGCATAGGTGGTACACGTGTTTGCTTGTAAAGTCAGCAGAAAGTGAGACTTTCTAGTCTCGTCCCCGATGAGGCTTACGAACAATATACTGCCGTACCAAGCAATTATATCAGCAGGGCTCAAAAGTAGAACTTGTGATCTCTTTTATGGAGTGCATACAATGTGAAGAGGAGTGTAAAAATCATGATGAGTATATCTTGTCGTTTCTATGTTTATTTTACAATTCCAGCTTACAAAATACGATTATTCCGTATTTCGATGCCAACTGGGAGAATTTGACATCAATGCCCAGAAGGGTTAAGAACACTTGGCACACGACATTGCAAAAGACGTTAATAAAAGACGTAGAACTTTTTAAGGTACATTTTTGCCCTAAGTACACTTGCATAGTTTATAGTGTATTGAGAGTTTTAAGGTGAATCCTGAAGACGAGAATAGCTTTGCGCTCTTGGAAACGAACCTCGCCGATATCGGTCCAGTCAACGAGTTTGTAAAACAGGTAAATGGAATCGAATTCTATTCTTTCGTCTTTATGCCAATTGTTTGTTTTGGAGGATCTTGAAAATAAATCAACGTTCTTTTTTTTGCACATACTGTAAAGTTGATGTGAAGTTTGGAGATCTACGCAATATCATATATCCTCTTTTTCAAATAGATTGGTCATCGCCGTCCGCAACCGTTCTCGAAATGTGTTCAGATTGGAAAGAAGACAAGCAGTGGTGAAAAGGGTAATCTCGCTTCAACACTTGTCAGCGCTCAACATGGAACGGGTAGGACGTCCGGAGTAGACTCCGATGTGGACGGTGGTCCGAAGACCCGTGGAGCGTCAAAGAGACGTAATGTTGATAGCGCAGGCGGTGGGAAGAAACCGAAACTGTAAGTTTTCTCTTGACGATTTCATAGGCGGGTATCATTCGTTGTTATAAGTTTTTTTGAACACAGGTTTAATTACCGATGATATGGAAAAATCTTTTCTACTCGTTCTCATGGTTGAATCAAAAATTAATGCGAATTTCGAAAGAAAATCTTGTGCCTTCTCTGCTCTTTCTGCGTAATTCATAAAATAATTGCGTTTGTAGTGTTGATCTCTCCCCTACAAACTTTTGCTGCAAGTCTGTACAGGCGTTATTCAAGCTTTACTAGGAATGATATACACAGTGCTGATGAGCCACTTGTTATTACTGATCTGGCATTTTCCTCTTTCGCCGAAACCAAAGAGAACATGTGGGCGTCAACTCGCATTGCATTATACTTTTAAACCTGTGTTGTAATGTAATGCTAATTGTCACTATCAGCTGAAAAAGGGTATTCTAATGCTATTCAAGGACTGCTCCAATCAATGACAGTGATGCGTGCCGATATAGGAGCCCAGAGGCTGGTTTGGGATTCTAGCTTTGGCATACTGTCTAATTACGAAGATTTTTGAAGTTAATATTATGTGCGTAGAAGTTTGCATACTACGGAGACCTCACTTTCTGCGTACTGCGTATATGAATCGATCCGTGACTGCGACTGCACGTAGCACGCCACAATGTGAAATATAGCACGAGGGTGGGGCATTGACAACGGTATGACTTAACGAGATCGACGTCCATAAATCTATCGCATTCGTCTGCCGTTAGCAAATTGTGTAGTGGTAGGACGTGTTCGACTAGGTCTTAGCAGCCGTCGAATCGTCCGTGGTCTCAAATGACGTGTCCATAAATTGCTTTCTTACCCTCGCTATCTGATTACAGGAGGGACAGACCTTATATCAGTGATTCAGAATAGAAGCGGCCCGAATGTGGCGGTTTTCAATTTTTTTTTCTTTACCCGGCATCAGCAGCAATTAACCAATTATGACCATTGCTTAATTCTACCATCTATACGTACACAAGCGCCTAAATTCCAACCGCAAACCAAGGTATCGCGAAATACCTTCAAATTGTGTAATTCTTTGTCATTTAGAGCTACTGATTATTCGTCGTCAAAGATTGCAGCGTCGGATGGTTCAGGACCCATTGATTTTCCTTTCAATAAGGAAGGCTATCGGTATTTTCTAGTGGAAAAGGATCCCAACGTTAATGACAGGTCAGCTCTTCATTTTCTTTATACGCTAAAAGACGGCAGATCAAAAACTCTTACATAAGAAACTGTTGTTTCCGCATATTCGTCATCAAGTGTATTCTGTTTGCTAATTTTTCAGAATAAGTTTGGAGGAAGACGACGGATCAACTCCAAGGATAATCCCGCCACACTTGTACCGACTTCACTTCCAAAGGACGGTCACAATTTCCCCGAATGATAGAGCGCATGAGGTAAGTAGAATTTTCTCTCGATGAATACGCTTAATGTTCCATTTTAGTTGCGTGTATCGGACGATCAATTGACAGTAACTGGTTTCGAAGGTTATCGAGTAGCTCGCGCTACTCATTCGGTTGCTAAGGGTACATGGTACTTCGAAGTGAATTTCCTCAAACAACCAGATGACTCCCATATAAGAATAGGTTGGAGTCAACCTCTAGGTAAATCTTCCATTTCGCATTCAGTTTTGCCCGTATTGATGCACCTTTCTTCTATCAATCAGCACTTTAGCGGTCGTTCAATCTTGTATTGGATACAATAAGCTGTCATACAGTTGGCGTTCCTTGAAAGGTACAAAATTCCATGACGCCATAGGGAAAAAATATTTCCCCGGCGGATATAAGGTAAATCAATTTACTATTGCGACAATTTTCTTTGAAAATCGCTTTTGCTGTGCTTTGGACCAATTTTTTTATTCTGCTGTTCTTATTCACATTTTCAACGAAATGGATTTACTAAGGAGGGCGACATACTTGGTTGTCTAATACATCTCCCGCATGATCCTATTCATCCTGGGCCTTCCAGTCAATATCTACCTCCATCCAATAAGGTAGCTTTCTAGCTCTTTTTGTGCTAATTCAAGGTAATCTTTTTTTTTNNNTTTTTTTTTCAAACAGGACCTCCCGCTCATCAATTTCAAGCACAACTACTTCTATGAAAGTCATGATGAAGTTGCTGACGTGGTGAAAGCTTTGGAACCGTTGAAAGAGAGCAGAGTAAGTGATGAGCTTCTTTGTTGTAGTATCTGTGGTGGCGTGTTACGAGGGTTGCTGAAAAGTAAAGTTGATATTTGAAACCAGTGGTACGAGTTAGCAATAATAACGGCTGTAACTTTTGCTGCAATAGCGATGGAAAACACTCCACTATAGTTCGGATTTTCATGGTGTTAAAAAAAAGGTTGAAATCATACATGTTGACATCTTCCTTGGCCATGAAGGTACGACTTCAGTGTGATGTGTATAAAGCATTGCAATTTCCATGTGAATGAATTTCAAGAGCTGGTCGTGGTTTCTTTTTCGGAGCACTACTTAGATGATTAATGTTGCTTTTGGCAGAAATGAGCCAACGAGTAAGCGTTCCTGGTGTGCACGATCAGAAATGTGAGAAGAAAATCCTTCAAACGCAACGCTTCACTTCCAGCGTAGTTATATGCCAACAATCAAAAATTTTTCCATTTCAACTTGCTTCTTTACCGTGGAGGTTGTTCAAAACCTGCACACCATTACCCGCTAATTTCCGTGGGAAGCGGGCCTCAGATTGTTTTTCATCTGAGTCTTTGAAGCTCTTGTTCTCACGTTTGCTGTGCTGCTGCTATGTATGCCTGGCGACAGAAATGCTGGCCAGATGCATGACTGGTTTCATAACTTACTGTGTACGCTAGAACCCTCATAAACACCATATTCATTCACGTACTTATTGGATGTCAGATGCGCAGCGCTTTTCAAAACGTATAACATCTGGTCCTCGAATTGACGTTTATTTACTTCAGCATCATTTTCAGATTGAATTTTTCAAAAACGGCAAGTCGTGTGGTGTAGCCTTTACAGACATATACAGAGGATTCTACCATCCTGCAATATCAATATTCAAGAGTGAGTTCTGTATTTTGACCAGAATTACTGAAATCGATGCCTTTGTTAGATTTTAACATGAAGGGGATATTTAATGTGTTTGACAGTGGATTTTCATGTCTACATTCCTAGATGCCACAGTGAGATGCAATTTCGGGCCAAGGCTTCATCACTTACCACCTGGTGCATTACCCATGAGTGCCAGAGTAGAACAACTCTACGTGGAGCAAACCCTTAGTGATATTATATTTCTTGTTTCAAATGGGCATGTATAATTGTTTTGATCTCAACTTTTTCGGTACTACTTGTGTCTTAACCACTTGTTTGTTGTACATATTGTAGATTGTTAAGTTATTAGTTTTGTTTTGTCGTTTGACAAATAAAAGCTTTCTGCGTGCGACTCTGTGACTGGAGTGTGTTTTTCATGAATACTGAGAGATTCTTGATCAACATTCTTAACAAAGATGACAGTTTTGCTTGATTATC